ACTATATTTATTGAAAATGTCTGCATATAAGTAGACCCATGCTATTCAAACCTGTGTTGTTGAAAGGGTCAACTGTACAGCCATCTTAGATATCTGTATTTTTTGTTTTGTTTTTTTAAAGATTTTATTTATTTGACAGAGATCACAAGCAGGCAGAGAGGCAGGCAGAGAGAGAGGAAGGGAAGCAGGCTCTCTGCTGACCAGAGAGCCCAATGTGGGACTTGATCCCAGGACCCTGAGATCATGACCTGAGCCAAAGGCAGAGGCTTTAACCCACTGAGCCACCCAGGCACCCCTTAGATGTATTTTGGTTACTATTTACTTGGAACGTCCTTTTCCATCCTGTGACTTTCAGTGTCTCTGAATTTAAAATGAATCTGTTATACAAGACAGCATATAGATGGATCTTATTTTTTTAATTCAATCTGCCAGTCTCTGCCCTTTTTTTTTAATTTTTATTTGTTTGACAGAGAGAGAGATCACAAGTAGGCAGAGAGGCAGGCAGAGAGAGGGGGAAGCAGGCTCCCCACTGAGCAGAGAGCTCCATGTGGGGTTCGATCCCAGGACCCTGGGATCATGACCTGAGCTGAAGGCAGAGGCTTTAACCCACTGAGCCACCCAGGTGCCCCTCTCCCTTTTTTAAAAGACTTTATTTGTCAGAGAGAGAGAGAACAAGAGAGCAAGCACAAGCAGGGAGAACAGCAGGCAGAAGCAGGCTCCCTGCTGAGCAAGGAGCCCGATGTGGGACTCGATCCCAGGACCTTGGGATCATGACCTGAGTCGAAAGCAGAAGCTTAACCTGAGCCAGCCACCTAGGCGTCCCAGTCTCTGCCTTTTATTTTTTAAAAGGATTTATTTATTTATTTATTGGACAGACAGAGATCATAAGTAGGCAGAGAGGCAGGCAGAGAGAGAGAAGGAAGCAGCCTCCCCACTGAGCAGAGTGCCCAATGAAGGGCTCGATCCCAGGACTCTGAGATCACAACCCGAGCCGAAGGCAGTCTTAACCCACCGAGCAACCCAGGCATCCCGTCTCTGACTTTTAATACCATGGGAATATGATAGAATATGGTTTCTCCCTCATTCTTACTCATTTGACTACTTCTTCACATTATAATAATGTGAAATATTTGCTAGACAATTGGGAAATAGAATTTTTGTAAATATGGACAAGTTTAATTCACATTAAAGTAATTACTGATATGGAAAGATACTTTTTCCACTTTAGGTATTTGTTTTCTGTATGTCTTTCATGGTGGGTTCCTCCTCCCCTCCTGCCCTCCCCCCACCACAAAGATCTATTAACTGAAAACAGCAAAAGAGGGTCTACTGTACATTCTTAATCAATTAAAGAAAGAAAATTCCTACACAGATACAGAAACACTCTCATCACCTCTGGGGGAAAGGACTAGAGGAATCTGGAAAAGGGAGACTGAATTAACTATTAATTAATACTGCCTGACTTTCTTAGGACATACAAGTATTATTTTCACACTTCAAAGTCTAAAATATATAAGAGGAATATATAAATATATATTCTATATGACATATTCTATAATATATATCATCTAGATGACACTGAAATAAAACTTAATATTCTCAAAGTCATAGAAAGTCAATTAAAACAGGATGAAGCACCGCTTCTTAATGAAATTATCAACAGGTGGACAAACATTATTCACTTAATCCCTTTGTCTTCCAAGATCACTGCTTATGAATCACAGAATCTCAGAAATGAAAAGCATGCATACTCAAAGAAAGAAACCAGGTCCTTAGAGGTAACCTGACATGTCCAAGATCAAAGAGCTTGGGGCTGAAAGCAGCATCAAGGGTTGGAATATAGGATTTCTGGCTCCTGCACCTGTCTTTCTGGGCTAGGTCATTTGTTTTTTTTTTTTTTTTTTTTTAAACGATTTTATTTATTTATTTGAGAGAGAGAGAGCGAGCGAGCATGAGAGGAGAGGGATCAGCAGGAGAAGCAGACTCCCTGCTGAGCAGGGAGTCCGATGTGGGACTCGATCCCAGGACTCCAGGATCATGACCTGAGCCGAAGGCAGTCGCTTAACCAACTGAGCCACCCAGGCGCTCCGGTCATTTGGTTTTAATGAATGATACAAAAATTAATGTGAATCTGTCAATCTCCTAGCAATAACATTGCTATGTGATGGTTAATTAAAGGAACCACAAACAAAAGCCAAAATGGCAGAGAAATAATAATATTTATAACGAAGTATGTATGTTTTAAAAAGATTTATTTATTTTAGAGAAAAAGAGAAAGAGCATGCATGCACGCATGGCCTGGGGAGGGGCAGAGGGAGAAGAGAGAGAGAGAAGCAGACTCCCTAGCTGAGCGCAGAGCCTGACACAGGGCTCAATCTCTTATGACCTGAGCCAGAAACAATTTGGATGCTCAACCAAACTTCCCAGGTGTCCGAAGATACATGTTTTTTAACATTATACCTAAGATCTCAAAAAAAAATCCCAATCAGCTGTAAGAAATGGGAGGTATAAGGAGTAATCAAAATGATTATTTGTAGATGACATACTCTCTGATATTCTCCATTAGATATAATAAAGTAATTCAGCAAGATTCCTGCAGACAGTGACATTTTTAAAGAGATCACTGGGGTACTTGGGTAGCTCAGTTGGTTAAGCATCTGCCTTCAGCTCAGGTCATGATCCCAGCTCTCTGCTCAGCAGGGAGTCTACTTCTTTCTTTCTCCCTCTGCCCCTCCCCCTCCGCTTGTTATCTGTCTCTCACTTGCTCCCTCTCTAATAAAGAAATAAAATCTTAAAATAATAAATAAATAAATAAATAAAGATTACTAAGATACCAGGGAGAGGGGAAAAGCAACAAAATTTCAGGAAATTATAAAACACAAAGGACCTCAATTAATAGAGAAATTATGATGCTACCATAATATTGAATAATACAAGGTAAAACTGCCACTGTCTCCAATAAATCAAATAAAATTCCACAATTCCAATATGGTTTGTTAATATTCGACATTCTAAAAGTCATATGGAAAAAATGGTCTAAGAATAACCAAGACAGTCAAAAAATATGGGTAAGGAGGGATGATTTTCTCAAGTACATAAAGACATTCTAAACCTATGATAATTAAAACAGTGGTATTGGTTCAATAAAGGAAAGACTGATGGGGCACATGGATGGCTCAGTGGGTTAAGCCTCTGCCTTCGGCTCAGGTATGATTTCAGGGTCCCGGGATCCAGTCCCCCATTGGGCTCCCTGCTGAGCAGGGAACTTGCCTCCCCCTCTCCCTTTGCTTGTGTGCTCTCTCCTTCTCTCACTCTCTGTCAAATAAATAAAAATTTTAAAAAGATTGATTGATTGACTGATTGATTTGACAGAGATCACAAGTAGGCAGAGAGGCAGGCAGAGAGAGGAAGGGAAGCAGGCTCCCCGCTGAGCAGAGAACCCGATGGGGGCTCGATCCCAGGACCCTGGGATCATGACCGGAGCTGAAGGCACAGGCTTTAACCCACTGAGCCACCCAGGTGCCCCAAATAAATAAATTCTTAAAAAAAAAACACACACAAAAAAAACAAGACTGATAGAATAGAGAACCTAAAGCAAATCTGATAGATGCAACATCACACACAAGTTGTGAAAGCACAGACCATTCAACAAATTGTTTGGTGTTGAGACACCTGCCTTTACATATATGGAAAAAAATTAGATTCCTATTATATCCTGTATATCAAATTAATTCCAGATGTATCAAAGACCCAAATCTGACATATAAAATTTTAAAGCTACCAGAAGACCTAGAAGTCTTTATAGCCTCAAGTAGGGGAGGGAGATAATAGGAAGCAGAGGAAATAGATTGACAAATGGCAGGTATCTTCATCTCTCAAGTAGAAAGTAATAATACCATCTATCACACATCAACAATGAGATTTAAATATGTCCAGTCCTTAGAACGATGCCTGATATACATTCTCTTAATAAATGTAAGCCTCTCTCATCTTGGTTCTTTTAGTTACTAGTTGTGTGAAACTGGGTAGGTAACTTTCATTACCTCACTTTCCTTACCACAAAATGGAGAAAACAAGAGTACCTACCATATGAAGTTCTTGTAAGAATTAAATGACTCTATATAAATAAAGTGTTTAGAACAGAAACTGATACACATTAAGAGCTCAACAGAGCAAGAATATTGTATTACATTCACAAATAATCACCGCATTACATATGGAATAAGTAGCATGTAAAAGTAACCGGAAGTACCAAATTAAGTGAATGCTTGGGATTCTATTTTATGTATTTATTATTTTTTAAAAGTATGTTGGAATCCAATGTGGCACCTGAACTCATGACCTGAGATCAAGAGCTGAGCTAAAATCAAGAGTTGGATGCTTAAACAACTGAGCCACCAGGTGCCCCATGACTCTGTTTTAGATGGTAGTTCTCGTAGCAACGGGAGAATGAAAAAGTGGGGGAAAAGCTAAAGGCATAAGAGTTAAAAGGTACTCTAACTGTTCCAGCCTAAACAAAGCAGTAATAATTGAAACAAGTTATAAAGGTAGATTCCACGGGATCTGAGAAAAGATAAGACCTGTAAAGACAGTGAGCAAGTGTCATCAATAATTTCTAGATTCCCAAGCAGATGAACGTCAGTGTGGTGATGCAATTAATTTTGAGATGAGAGTGACAATATTGAGAACATTTTCCACCTTTTTTACTAAAAAATTATCCCTAATCCTCATTTTAATTATCTTAAAAGTTATCAATCAGCATCTAACTAAAACTTCATGCTTTCTAAAGGTAGGCCTTTGGAAATAACTGATACCCTAACAGCTAATTTTCTAGCACATCATATAAAATTTCTTTAAAATCATTGCAGGGAAAAAAAAAACACCATTGCAGGTTTTATTATTATCCATTATCATGCGTATGTGTTTTAAATTCTCAAACAGACAAGCAACAAAAACTTTCTGGCTTCACACTAGCTCTATACTTACAAATATTTTCTTACCATGATTGGCTTGCCCTGAAATGTTTTAACTTCTTCTCTTAAATATTTAAAAGCCTGTTAACAAAGCAGAAAGGAACTTTTATTAGCATTCAAACATTTCATTAATGCCATTTTTATTCTACCAAATTTTGTTATTAGCAATCATGTCCAAACTAAACAATAAAAAATTCTGAAGTCAATTCCATTATGCAGGTGATAAGGAATGAGAAAGTAAAAACAGCCCAGCATAAGTTCACATTTACTGTATATTAGCTACTATGGATTAATGCAGGAAAAGATGCACAAAAGTCAAAATAGACCCCAAATTTCACTACATATAATGGTTTAATCAGACAGTTTTCTAAGATGAATAATTAAAAAAAAACAACAACAAAAAAAAAAAACCAGAGGGGCGCCTCGCTGGCTCAGTTGGCGGAGTATGCAATTCTTGATCTTGGGGTCATGATTTCGAGCCCCAAACTGGGGGTAGAGTTTACTTTAAAAATCAATCAATCAGGGACGCCTGGGTGGCTCAGTTGGTTGGACGACTGCCTTCGGCTCAGGTCATGATCCCGGAGTCCCGGGATCGAGTCCTGCATCGGGCTCCCAGCTCCATGGGGAGTCTGCTTCTCCCTCTGACCTTCTCCTTGCTCATGCTCTCTCTCACTGTCTCTCTCTCAAATAAATAAATTAAAAAAAAAAAATCTTTAAAAATCAATCAATTAGTGAGTGGTTTTAAAATGCTATTAGATATATTTTTGGTTTTCTTTTGTTTCAAGGGATTATTACTCTTTAAGTTGGACATGACAACAAAAGTAAAATCATTAATATCAAAATTCCAAGAATCAGAAAGGAAGTTACGTACTTATTGTGGGCCTAGTATGTACGTACTAGAAATACCAACTACTGAGTACATGGTTCCCAATCTTTAAATTAATTTTAAAATTGTTTTAATTTTTTTACTGATAGGAAATAAACTTCTTAAATTGAAATTGAAAAAGCTTTAGGAAAATGATCAGAAAGGAAGCCAATTAAGAAGCACAACCAAGGGGTGCCTGGGTGGCTCAGTGGGTTAAGCATCTGCCTTCGGCTCAGGTCATGATCCTGATCAGGGTCCTGCTTCCCCCCCCCCCCCCCCCCGCCTACTTGTGATCTCTCTCTCTCTCTGTCAAATAAATAAATAAGATCTTTTTTTTTTTTTTTTAAAGATTTTATTTATTTATTTGACAGACAGAGATCACAAGTAGGCAGAGAGGCAGGAAGAGAGAGAGAGAGAGAGAGAGTAAGGGAAGCAGGCTCCCCGCTGAGCAGAGAGACCAATACGGCGCTCGATCCCAGGACCCTGAGATCGTGATCTGAGCCGAAGGCAGATGCTTAACCCACTGAGCCACCCCGGTGCCCCTAAATAAATAAAATCTTAAGAAAAAAAAAAAAAGAAGAAGAAGCACAACCAAAAAGGTGAACAAGGTGCTCAATAGTCTTTACAAATACTGCCGTGAGCACATATTTTCTCAGTTAAAATATACTACTACTTTTACCACCAGGACTTCAAATCAGAAGAAAAGTTTTCTTCTCACCTGCTGTGCATCTGTGTCTGACTGGAAAGTGATATACCAGTTGCTATTGTGTGCAAACTCACAGCTTATCACCTTTGGGCAGTTTTCATTCTTGAACAAAGCTTTAACTTCCTAAGAAAGAAAAACTTTAGTGTAAATTTTATATATGATTTAGAGATAGAATCTTATTTTAATATCAGCAAAACTGAAGCATTTCATCACACTCTTAGTGGCAAGCTAAATTTTCCTTAACAGTACAATCTTTCTAGACCTGCCATTATCCAAAAAATGAAAAGTATCCTCCATTAACATTTTCTAGTGCTTAGTATTTATTTGGATGCATTCTCATTCAATCCAGATGCTCTGTCTACACCAGAGTTACAGACAGGAACTCTGTGCAAAAGTATCTTCCCTTTTCCATAACTGAAACTGAAATTCAATAACTGAAAACTGTAACAAATATATGATTTAAAAAAAATCGATTACCAAAACTTAGAACTGTGTTTAACACAGTTTAACAGCTTGAAGGAAGTTTATAAAAAGAAAAGAAAGAAAACAACTGGAAGTCAACATTAGTATCTCTAAACGGTTATAGAGAGAAAGAAAACATCTACTGAAATCCCATGCAGGATAAGACATAGATTTAACCTGAAAACAATCCTGTTTTAAAGATCTTATCATATCCACTTTACAGGTGAGAAAATGGTAGCTCAAACTGTTTAACCTACTCACACTATACAAACAAGAACTCAAACCCAGATTTGTATGCCTCCAAACTCCATTTTGTTTAATACCTATTTGAGTTCAATGAGAAATTCACTAATAACTAGTAATTCCCAAACATAAAGAATCTTACTAGGCTAAAATGCCCATAAAATACCAAAATATCACAAGGTATCCATTTTTAAAAAGGTAATTACTAAGCTGATGGGACAATCAATGTTCACAATGAAGTCTAACCTGTATTCTAACTCCCTCAAATTTTTACTACACTGAATTAAAAAAATAACATCTCTACTTATGATGAAATTTGCTCGGGTCAAATACTACTCGAAATAAGTAGTGTGCAACCAGCCGAGTTTTGTGACATTAGTGAAAGTGGTGAAATATCACCAAGTTCAGTTAATAAAATTCTCATCCAGTTCAGAATTATATTTCTATAGAACTATCTGTGGAACTATTAGATTGCCATCCACTGCTCTCTACCTTCAAAAATCCATAGATATTCTCTAACTATTTCTAATTCTCTGTGAAATGAATTGACTTATTTATTTAGATCTTTTTATTTTTAGCCTTTATTATTCTTTAGGAAGAGTTGTATATGTTTACAGATTAACTTTCCCAAGTATAAAAAAAGAAGTCTGGATCTAAAGTAATTTGTTCTACCTGATAGTAATCTTTCGTCACCACCCCAAATCTCTCATTTTAATGTGCATTTCAGGGACTACTGCCTAGGCTCTCTCTAGCTATCTTAGTCATCTGCACTTCCTTTACTATTTTTAATGAACAGTATGTTGCTGCCTTGTTCCTTTTCATTTATTGCTCTTCATGTGTGTGACCTGTTTATGTATTCAGAATATAAATTACAATAACTATAAAAATGATAGTACTGGCTAATCTTAGATCTGTTTTACATGCCAAGTACTGCTCTAAGTTTTTTATATACTAATTCACTTATATCTCACAATTTTATGAGTTACTTATTACTATTATCCCATTTAACAGATGGAAAAAACCAAAGCAAAAGAGGTTAAGTAACTAACGCAAGGTCACAGAGCTATCAAGTAAAAAGCTGGAATTTAAATCCAGGCAGCTTGGCTCTAGAGTTCAGGCTCATATATTCTACACTGTTTCTTAATAATGCAAATATTCTTCCCATTGTGCAATTTTCCTTTCAATTTGTTACTTTTGACATATAGTTCATAATTTTAAATAGAACATCTCTATAGTGACAGTTTCTTTTCTAATTTCTCTCACTGTTTCTAAGTTAGGAAATCTTCATTCTGGAGAGTTAATACTGAATGAATCTGGGCAAAAAGATTAACTACTAATGTGCCAAGTTTGTTAGCTGGCAAGTCTAAAAATTCTTTTTTAAATGGCTAACCAATTACCACATATCAGCTACTAATTAGTCCTCTCCATCTTTAACTTATTATCATTAACATGCCAACTTAGTGTGAAGTCCTATGGTTTACTGGCTAAGAAACATGGGCTTTGGAATCACAGAGAGCGAGTTCAAATCAGATTCTGTCATTCAAACAGGCCATGTGACCTCAGGCAAGTTATTTAACTATACTAAGGCTCAGTTACTTTATTTGTAAAACAGAGATAACAAAACCTTAGGCTTTATATTACCATAAAGTACATGGCACAATACCTGGTAGAATCTATTAAATAAATGTTATCATAAATTCATTACTAAATCAAGGAGTCTATTTCAGGATTATATTGTTCCATTCAAATATTATTTTATTCCTGTACCTGTACCACACCACATTTATGACCACAACTCTGCTTTATATTTGCCGGCTAACAGAATTAAGTCTTGACTCTTATATTTTTCTTCTTCATTCCTAAGTGTATTCTTTCAGATGAATCCTCAAGTTCCCAAAAGAGCCTATTTATATTTTAATTGCTAGTCAAATGAACAAACTGAGAACTAGTAACACGGCAATACTCAGTCTACCATTCTAAGAACATGGAATTATCATCTTCCTCCTCCCTTTGTGCCACTCTTCCAGGGCTTCAGAATTTACAAAACAAAATTTATCCTATTCACATAATTGATATGAGGGCACTGACTTACACTTCGTTTATCTTCACTTTAAACAGTTAAAGAACACTTAACTTTAACAATGCTTAATAATTTACCTCTATAGGTGTTGTTTCAGGAATCTCTCTAAGAATCACAATACAACGCTTATGACTTGGTCTCACTTTCTCGCCCTTTTCATCAACTTGTACCATAGGAGAAGCTGAAATTTAAAAAAATGTTTCATTCAAAAGTGACAAGGTGAGATTTTAATATTGCCATTAAAAACTATTCATTTCTATTTCCAAGTGAATAAATTAGCAGAGGTTAATATCCTCAATAAATTAAATTGTAGAACCAAAGATTACAGTTGTAACAAAATATTTTGAAATTAATATACAAGAAACACTGTCAAATGTTATTCTTTGAACAAATATATATAGAGTACCTACTTTGTGTCTTGGCATTGAAAAACTTTACAGGAGTATATAATACATAACTAACAAGGTAAAATTACCCTGTGTACAATTACTGAATTCTGGATTTCTGGAGATAAGAAGTGTATTAATCAGTGTATTTGCATTCCACTCTTGTAACTGGACTACAGTACTGCATTCTGACATACAAACAAATTCTTCTTAAAATTCAAGTCTAAGAGGCACTTAAAACCAAGAATTGAACTCAAATGATTATAACTTTCCTTCGATTTTAACAATTTATTCTTACAGACTATTATACACACTGAGAAGCCATCCTTTAGATGCTGATTTTGAGGAAATATCTAATGAAGATAGTATTATCTAACCAAAACTTTTATTTCTAGTCCCTTCAGAGATAATATGCCACATCTCTCTGAAGAAGTAAGTAGTGAGAATAAAAGGACAGGGAAGAAGAGCTGGGTTTAGGTACTAGGTTCTAGCCCTCCGAGGTAGAGGATTCTGCTAGTCTCTTGGCTGATTTTTTTCTGATGCCAAGACTGGGTTTTTTTTTTAAGAAACCACTGCACAAAAAGAGATTTCATAAATGTTTTTAGCTCTCTGAGAATGGAAATCTTCTACTCTCATAAAAGCCCATTATGGGACTTGGTATATTTAACTTTTAAACATTTTCAACAACATATTTCATATAACAGTGAAGAGCTGCCTTTATTCGATCAAGTGGTTAAAACTTTGGTAAGGTTTGGGTGCCTGGGTGGCTCAGTGCGTTGAGCATCTGCCCTCGGCTCAGGTCACGATCTCAGGGTCCTGGGATTGAATCCCGCATCGGGCTCTCTGCTCAGCAGGGAGCCTGCTTCCTCCTCTCTCTCTGCCTGCCTCTTTGCCTACTTGTGATCTCTCTCTTAACAAATAAATAAATAAAATCTTAAAAAAAAAAAAAAAACTTTGGCAAGGTTCTGCTAAGAAAGGTTAGCAAGAAATCCTGATACAAGACACAAACACCATTAAAAATGCTTAAAACCTCAAATTCTTTACCAAACTTTAGAGAAGTATTTGTCAAACTACAGACTGCAATTCTTTAAATTGTGAAATCAATTTAGAAAAAAGTTAATTCCAAGCATTTAGTATTAATCTGAATAATTAACATTTCAGTTGTGTAGGGATATGTGGTGTGTGTACTGGGCTATAAGGTAAAATGTACTTATTACTTGGGTTCAAAAGTTTGAAACAATGCTTTAGAAGATGCAGTAATGATACATATAACTTTCTAATAGCCCAGAAAACTGAGATTTAATTGCTTATTTTTGAGTAAGTGGGTATCAAGATGAACAACCAAGGTACAGAACTGATATAGAAGCTATATACCAAGTCAGTAAAAATAAAAAGATAAATTATTGGAACAGAATAACAAAAAACAGGGAGCTAACAATTCCCTGCCTGTGAGCACCGCTTAATGTATAGAATTGTGGAATCACTATGTTGTATACCTGAAAAAATACATTGCATGTCAACTACAATTTAATAAAAATAAATGGCCAATAAAAACAAAAAATTCCCTGCTTGACCAGAAATCAAAAGAAAACTTAGCTTTTTGACTTTAAATAAAAAATAAGCTAAAAGGTATGATTTACATACATCTCAACACTTCAAGAATTAGATCAGGGTCTGTGGTCAGCTTTTTAATTTCTTCCATGTTGGCAACTGTCCAAATTGGTACGAACTGATCACTGTCCATTTGAGATATCAGGTAAAGATCCTTTGACAAATTTTCTCTGAAAGGAATAAACAAAAGCAAGAGTCCCATAAAGCAAAGAATTCTCAAAAATCATCTAAAGAGGTCCCTTATTCACTTCTGTCATTAAGTCTGGTTAAACAAAATTTTGCTACAGCAAATAACACTGTGAACTATGAAAATATATAATACATAACAAAGATACTCTAACAACTTTCATAATGTTTCTGAATCACAAATACATCATGCCCAAAAGTTTTGAACAAGAGAACCTTATGGAATTATACTGATATGGAAGGAGGCTTAATAAAAATTTACACACAGTGTAGCTCCATCTTATAAACACTTTATCATTGATGTTAGAATATGCATATGGAGTTTAACTGTAAAGGATTTAAAATTTCTGAATGTTTGTTTTGTTTAAGTATGTTTGACTTTTTACTTAAATTTAAAACATTTAAAATTAAAAGATTCTTTAAGATACATTTCTAAAAAAGATCTAAACATTTCTATCTTACATATAAAATCTTATGTAACAAACTGAAGTAAAATCATACTCATTTGTCTTATTCACATTAGATCTTTGAAGCAGTCTAGTTATAATTTCAAGTTTTTGCTTAAAAGCCCCTTTTCTCAGTGACCCTATTTAAAACTGAAACCACCCAAGCAGTCTTGATTCCCCTTCTCTTGCTTACAGGGTTCTAAATTTTTTTCCATAGCACTTATCACTTAGCACACTTCTAAACTGTTTACTTCACTTTAAAAAAAAATTTTTGTTTGTTTTGTCTCCTCCAGCCAGAACATAGGTTCCATAAAAAATCTTTGTTGTTCATAATGTATTTCAAGGCCCTAGTGCCTGGCAAAGGGTAGGGCCAAAGGTCTCTACACTCAAGTGTTGTTAAAATAAAGTAGCAATTACTTTTTTTTAAAGATTTTATTCATCCACTTGACAGAGGCCACAAGTAGGCAGAGAGGCAGGCAAAAGAGAAGAGGAGGCAGGCTCCCTGCTGAACAGAGAGCCTGAGGCGGGGCTTGATCCCAGGACTCTGGGATCGTGACCTGAGCTGAAGGCAGTGGCTCAACCCACTAAGCCACCCAGCTGTCCAGTAGCAATTACTTTTTAAAAATTACAATTGTCGGGACGCCTGGGTGGCTCAGTTGGTTAAGCAGCTGCCTTCGGCTCAGGTCATGATCCCAGCGTCCTGGGATCGAGTCCCACATCGGGCTCCTTGTTCTGTGGGGAGCCTGCTTCTCCCTCTGCCTCTGCCTGCCACTCTGTCTGCCTGTGCTCTCTCTCTCTCTCTGACAAATAAATAAATAAATAATCTTAAAAAAAAAAAATTACAATTGTCAACAGATTGTTTTGGGGGCAAAAAATAATAGAGAAGATACCAGCAAAGGTTAAACTCACTTTAGCATAAAAGGAGGAACATAGTAATATAGTAATAACACCTTTTTTTGCTGTTTATTAGAGAGGGGAGGAGAAGGAGGGGTAAAGGGAGAGGGAGAGACAGAATCCTAAGACAGAATCTTAGGCAGGCTCTATGCCCAAGACCCCGACATGGGTATGATCTCACAACCCTGAGATCACGACCTGAGCTGACATCAAGAGCCAGACACTAAACTGAATAAGCCACCCAGGCTTACACAACTAAAAAGTTGTAGCCTGAACCAACTCTGACTTTCAGCATATCTGTTCTTATAAAAACTTGGTGAAACCTTTCTTCTTTTCTTAAGATTTTATTTGTCTGAAAAAGAGTAATCACAAGCACAGAGGAGGAGAGGTAGAGGGAGAAGCAGACTCCCTACTGAGCAAGGAGCCTCACGTGGGACTTGATCCGAGGACCCTAGGATCATGGCCTGAGCCAAACGCAGATGCTTAATGATTGAACCACCCAGGCGTCCCAAACCTTTTTTCAAAAAGATTTTAACTTATTTGAGAGAGAGTGGGAGAGTGCATGTATGCATGATCATACATGAGCAGGGGTAGGGTCAGAGGGAAAGGGAGAAGCAGACTCCATGCTGAGTGCGGAGCCTGATGTGGGGCTCCATCCCATGATGCTGAGGTCATAACCTGAGCTGAAGTCAGATGCTTCACTGACTGAACCACCCAGGTGCCCCAACCTTGGTCAAACTCTTAAACTTCATCTCATCAGAATATTAAATTAATATCAAATAAACATATCAAATTAACGGGTATAAGTCACATTTGTGATTTGACTACTCATGACTAACACCTGATAGGTACTGGTAACAATTTTGTGAAGCCACAAGCGTCAATCGTGTAATTGGTTTGAACTGTGGTAGATCGTGACAAACCAGTGTTCCTACTGCAACAACTAAAAAAGCCTGGCTAAATTACAAAAATCACATTTCTGGAGATGAAGGACAGAAACTACAAGAACAAAATAAAATTCCAGAAAGATGACCTTTCTTTTCTGAGGGGGTCTGCAGATCCGGGACTAGGGAGAAACTAGCAGAGCTTTAGGCAGTTGCACAGGACTGGCACTATGAATTGGAAACTAAAGGAGTGGGGTTGCCTGGGTGGCTCAGTGGGTTAAGCCTCTGCTTTCGGCTCAGGTCATGATCTCAAGGTCCTGGGATTGAGCCCCATGTCGGGCTCTCTGCTCAGCGAGTAGCCTGCTTCCCCCTCTCTGCCTGCCTACTTGTGATATCTTCTCTATCAAATAAAAAAATTAATAAATAAAAAATAAAATAAAAAAATTGAAAAAAGAAAACTAAAGGAGCTCCTAACGTACAGGAGATTTACCCCCACATAACATTTCCTGAGCTTTAAGAAGGAAGGTGGGAGACTGGGAACCAGGCTGAAAAGGCAGAGTAACATCTCTGCGGTTTTGTGGAAGTTCCAGTGAAAGGAAGAAACTTGCATCAAACACAAGACAGGTCTCCCCCCATCTCCCAAGACATTTGCCAGAATTTGAGGGTTACAGGGGAAGAAACTAAAGAGCTAATCTCAAACCCCTCAAGAACAGGACTAAATCTCCCTTGGTGTTTCAGGATTGAGGTAACAGAAAACAGACAACTCCTAAATCAAAAAACTAAAGACATCATGCCTAAGGAACAGAGATAAATCCGAAGCAGACTGAGTCTAATTAAAGTGGCTGCTTGGTCCTAACCCAGCTCAATTCCTGACTGGACTGAAGTAATCAATCCGCTTCTGCCTGTAAGAAAGCTCAAATCTTGTCTAGAGAGAAAAATCTTGTCATTTGCAGCTCATAGCTGCTTTTATATGTAACGTCTAGCATATAATCAAAATTTCTAAGACATGCAAAAAGGCAGAAAATTATGACAGAGAACCAAGAGAAAAAACTCAAATATAAGCAGACATACAAATGATCCATCAGTAGGCAAAGATTTTTAAATAACTATGACAAGTATATTACAGAAAATGAATTCTATTGCAGGAACAAACGACTAACAACAGAAACTTCCACTTTCATCGTTTTATTCTGTACTAAACTACAAAGACTACAAAGGCAAAAAAGGAGGGGAAAAAGGAGGAGCTATGTAGAACAAAGTATCAATTAAAACTGAGTCAAGAGTATATATATTATGTGTAAAGAAATTAAGAAGTCTAAGGGCACCTGGCTGGCTCAGTCGGTAGAACATGGTATTCTTGACTGCAGGGTCATGAGTTCAAGCCCTATGGTGGGCATAGAGTTTACTTAAAAAGTAAATTTAAAAAAAAAAAAAAAAAAAAGACATAAAGAAGTCTGATAAAATTCAAGGTTTCTAGCTTGAAAAATTTTTGGTTTACCAGTCCTACCTCTCACCACATATAAGAATAACTGAAGGCATTACCTTTGCATACATATCCAGACTTGTTTATTTGGGTTCCAAATTTTAGTATATGTGCTGCCGAAGCGAGCACAAAACTTCTGTTTATTTTGGAAGGGGCAGTTTTACAATACTGAAGTTTTATGACATGTAGACTATAAATATGCCTTCATAATTGTTATCAGTAAGTAAGACATCTCAAGGGGTGCCTGGGTGGCTCAGCTGGTTAAGTGTCTGACTCCTGGTTTTGGCTCAGGTCATAATTTCAGAGTCATGAGACTGAGGCCCATTTTAGGCTTGTGCTCAGCGCAGAGTTGGCTTCAAACTTCCTCCCTTCCCCTCTGCCCTTCCCCTTGCCCCATGCACATACTCTCTCTCGAAAATAAATCTTTAAAAAAAAAAAAAAAAGGCAGGGACTCCTGGGTGGCTCAGTCAGTTAAGCATCTGCCTTTGGCTCAGGTCATGATCCCAGGGTCCTGGGATCAAGTCCCACATCAGGCTCCCTGCTCTGCACAGAGCCTGGCTTCTTCCTCTGCCTGCTGCTCCCCCTGCTTTGCATGTTCTCTCACTCACACAAATAAATAAATAAAATCTTAAAAAAAAGGAAAAAGATAACCACTGTTTTGAGAACCCTAAACCTGAATATGTTTATAGGAAAAGTATCCAATAGCCAAAACAAAAGTAATCCAATCCAGTATTTCATTACCTTTCTACTAAGACTAGATCCTTTGCATATCCAATTAGAGACTACATCTTTAAATTTAGTTAGGAAATATAATAAAGAATATACCAAAAAATAAGGAAAGTACTTTACTGAAGGAAATTAAAACCACCATTATTCCACTCTATTTCACAGGTATTTTACATCTACTAACCAAACAATTCAAAAAATGAGAAATCTCAATAAAAAAATATGAATAACATACCGGGAGAAACAGAATTCCAATTGTTTCTTCAGACATTCTTTTAGGTCTTCTGTAGAAATTGCTGAATTACTTTCTCCTGAAGGTAGAAAACAGAGGAAAAGTGTTAACAATAAATTACCATAATAGGCAATAAACATTACATAGAGTTGTGCTCAGAATATGTCACGAAGTACACACAAATTAAAATTTACAAAACTATTATTTTTAAAGTCCAACTTAATTCTAACAAAGTCTAACTAATTTTAACCTATCTATTCTTTCTTTAGGTAGATTTCAGATCAGTTTAAAATTATTTTATCAGGTGCCTGGGTGGCTCAGTGGGTTAAAGCCTCTGCCTTCGGCTCAGGTCATGATCCCAGGGTCCTGGGATTGAGCCCCACACAGGGCTCTCTGCTTAGCAGAGAGCCTGCTTCCTCCTCTCTCTCTCTCTCTCTCTCTCTCTCTCTCTGCCTGCCTCTCTGCCTACTTGTGATCTTTGTCTGTCAAATAAATAAATAAAATCTTTAAAAAAAAATAAAATAAAATTATTTTATCAAGTAATGAACAAAGCACCATTAATACTAAAGGTACTTGGCTACCTTACTGTAAAACACTACCCTAAAAACTTTAAAAATGTTGTAACTACTTATTCCTTTAATGAAAGCTCAAAGAACAAAAGTAATAGTAATCTAAATAAGAAGGGACTAGCTAAATAAATTGGGATATATGTATCTATATCTACATTCTTGGTACTAAATCTGATTAGTCATACTTCAACTTTTATCTCTTAATACTCTTTTCATTCCTTGATTATAGAGCACTCTATCTTCCCAGGAATATTTAAAACACTCAAACATTCAAAAGATTAAAACAGCTCTAATGCCCTCTATGCCTTCAATATTTAAACCCAGAACACGAGATTTTTTTTTTCAGAACTCAAGCCTAGAAAACCATCACTCTTTAATTAGAATCTTACATAAAACACTACAGACTCAAAGCATGTAATCTGTCCTCTTCTTAAAAAAAGCATTAGTGATTAAGTAGGCTAATTTCCTTTAAATAAAGACAACATAATGTATACAAAGGTAAGTATTTTGTGCATGATTTTACCACTACCTTGTCTTAGTATTCAAGATTGAAAATGATAGTAGATATTAGATTAACTACAGTAAAAATAAATATAAGAAGCATTCTATTTCTATGTATATGCAATCCTTCTAATAAAAAATTCAACCACCCAAATGTGCTACCTAAAAATGAGCAATAACTTCATTTAACTTTTCAATGTCTTTACAGGAAACTTATTAAAATACCAACTGGTTGCTACATTACTAAAACCAAATACTAAAACCAACTCTATGTTTAAAATACCCAGTGGTTAGGTATATTAAGACCACAAGTAGGGAGAAGAACTACCACCTTAAATTAGTATATAGAAATACCACCCATGCCATTTCAGAAATCAACTCACAAGCTGACAAAACTTAGAAATCTAGTCTAAATATTTATAATAAATAAGGAAACTGAGGATAGAGGTTTATGTATCTTGACTGAAGTCACAGAACTAAGCAGCAATAGAATAGAGCACTCCCTATTACATTTGTTTTCCAAAGAGATCCCTTAAATTAGAAAAATTAAGTTAGGTAGTTGGGGTCTTTGGTCCATTTTTAGTTTCTTTTAAATCTCATCCATTTTAAATCCAAGCCAACTACTAACACATGCTACTTAAATAATTGTGAAAAAAAAAAATTTCACAAGTTGGACTGTAGTAGAACCATTTAATACATACATAATACATAAAGAACCATTTAATACATACATAATACAGCCATTTTCTCAAAATTAATCCCTGCAACTTCACATTTGTAAATGCACTCCACACTAAGAAAAGTAATGGGAAATTGACAGAACTTGCGCTGATCCCAACTAACAGACTAAGAAACTTGGGCTCTCTGAAAAATCATAATTTAGTTCCCTTTTAACTATATTGACTATTTTTTCCTTTTATCTTTAATTTCATACTTTTAATAGGACCTTTAAACATTCTTTTAAAATCACGTTTCATGTTTGTCATCTGAAAACAGTATTTATAAAAATAACAAAGCATTTCATTAACATAAAGTTCTTTTCAAATAAGAAAACGGATCGATCAATGCCAAAGTTTTATTAGAACAATGATAGAATGTAAAGGGAAAAACACTAGTGTACTGTATGCTCGTTTTACCAATAAAAGCATAAAGTTTACCAGAAATGTCATATATTTGGTAACTCAGATCTTCTGGCCCTAAAATCATTCCATCAGTTGATTCTTCAATGCTTATAGTATTTCTGGTGGTTTCACAAGATGAATACATTACTTCATATTCCTTACACATATCATCTGAAAGCTCTGTATTACCTGTATTAAAGAAAATATACTGAAAGTAAATAGGAATTCTTCAAATCCTATCTTTAGGAACTCTGGACACTAAGTCTTCTATAGTAAGATTTTAAGGACTTCTCCCAGTTGAGATAATGTCCACATGGCTGTAGTAAGAGTTCTCTTCCTGAGGAAGATTAAAGTTTACCATTATGGACAAGCTAAAATGATTATCAACAGTTTAAACTCATATAGCACTATCTATGTACTATCTACGTGCAGCTTCATGTACTTTATTCACTTGATTCTCAAGAAAATCCTATGCCAAAAGTAATTATTATTAATGTTTTACAGATGAAAGAAACAAGCACAGAGATGTTAGGTCATTTACCCAAAGTCAAACAGTGAGTAAACAGCATTGCCAATGATAATATATCAAAACTAATTTATAACTACCATATCATAAGTGAGTTAAATGCTAGACCCAAAGATAAAGCTACTATGTGAAATAGTGACAATTCATTCATACTAAAAGTAAAAACTGTGTACAAACTACATGTTAAACATTTATAAATACATTTAATCAAATAATCAAAAGATATACCACCAAGTTCTATAAACCGATTTGGTCATTATTTAACCAAAACATGATTTGTACTGATGAAACATTTAGGACGTACCCTCAGGATGAGACCCTGATGTGGCTGCTGTTTCATGCCAAGAGCTTTCAGTTCCATGAGTTACTTGAGTGGCATCACTATTTCCAGGAGGAATTTCTTGCCATACTTTGGCATTAGGATTTAAACCAGTTCCTTTAGATGTTACCTGCTAAATAATCAAATGATCTATTTGTAAACTTTAAAAGTAAATGCATTAAAATTACAAATTTAGATAACAGACTTTGATTTTACTTGAACATGAAGAAACCCCAATATTATTAAGTAATTTAATAACAAATATTAAATAAAATTGTAAAGTTTTGGGCTCATGTTGAAAATAAATCTTTTAAGTTTCTTTCTTTTTTTTTTTTTTTAGAGAGACAGCGAGAGGGAACACAAACAGAGGGAGAGGAAGAAGTAGGCTTCCCACTGAGCAGGGAGTCCGACATGGGGCTTGATCCCAGGATCCTGGGATCATGACCTGAGCCAAAGGGAGAGCCACCCAGGCACCCTGAAAATAAATTTTTTTAAAGAGATGGACTTGAAATGTTCATGTATAAAATTTACCTACCTATACAATAAAAAACATATATCCATTAACAATCAACAAAGAAATGCTGCTTTACCCCAATATACTTGCAAATGTCATAAAATGTATTCAAACTATTCAGTGATCTTTAGCATTATTTTTTTGTGTGTATTTATAGCAAACTGAGTTATCTAGAATGATTTTCCAGAGAATGTAATTTTTATTGCCATTTATCCTGTGACAGAGATCTTTGAGTCTGAATGATTCTATCACTGGAAATTTTTCCCAAATCAAAAACAGCAATCTGGGGCATCTGACAGACTCTGCTGGTAGATAGAGCATGCAACTCTTGATCGTGGAGTCATGAGTTCGAGCCTCATGGTGGGTGTATAGATTACTTAAAAATAAAATCTTTTTTTTTTTTTTTAAGATTTTATTTATTTATTTGACAGAGATCACAAGTAGGCAGAGAAGCAGGCAGAGAGGAGGAAGCAGCCGCCCTGCTGAGCAGAGAGCCTGATGCAGGGCTTGATCCCAGGACTCTGGAATCATGACCTGAGCCAAAGGCAGAGGCTTAACCCACTGAGCCACCCAGGCGCCCCTTAAAAATCTTTAAAAAAACAGAAAACAAAAAACAAAAACCCAAAACAGCAATCTGCCTTTTATTAGATTGTGTTTTTCCATTTGTCCTGAAAGTGTATATTCTTAATGTTCACAAAATAACTGATATTTAAAGTAATCTTCTACATACATCATTTAAATTTACTTCGTTTACCTCATTCAACCAAACAAAAGGACTTGATCCTTCTCAAGTGCATTAATGACCTTTCAGAAAGCTTACACCCTGTTCAGAAAATCACTTTTAACAATCTGCTCAGCCTTAGGCCTCTCCCCTGGATGACAGGCACCAGAAGGTAAATTCAAAGGGCAAAGAATCAATTATTCAAGTTTATGACCTGCAGATACTGGGAATTCAGCTTTCATGAAAAGTAAGTGAATTTATCATTTAAGTGTCAGAAATTTTGTCTACGTAGAGGGAGTTCTTACCACTGGCTCTGGCTCATGGGGTGATTTAAAAAAAAAAAAAAAAAAAAAGCCTTTCTAGTATCACCAACACTAAACATGGCAATCAAAGCAGGCCTCTGGGTAGGCAGAACTGCAGAGCTCTCAGACAGAGTTGTTAAGAAGACAGCTTCTGGGAGGCCTGACTGTACTTCTGCAATTAATTATGTCCCATGAAATTCCCCTATAATCTAGAATCATACCTGAATTAAAAACCCGGCTCTGGGGGCGCCTGGGTGGCTAAGAGGGTTAAAGCCTCTCCCTTCGGCTCAGGTCATGATCTCAGGGTCCTGGGATCGAGCCCCGCATCGGGCTCTCTGCTCAGCAGGGAGCCTGCTTCCCCCTCTCTCTCTGCCTGCCTCTCTGCCTACTTGTGATCTCTCTGTCAAATAAATAAAACCTTAAAAAAAAAAAAAAACACACAACAAAACCCAGCTCTGACATTAGTGTTTCATTTTTAAAAAAATATTTTATTTATTTGTCAGAGAGAGCAAGAGAGCACAAGCAGAGGGAACAGCAGAGGGAGAGGGAGAAGCAGAAGGAATCCAATGCAGGGCTCAATCCCAGGACCCCAGGATCATGACCTGAACCACTCAGGCAGCCGGCACACTCATTCTTTAACAGAGACTGTATAAGATGGTACACCTCAGGGATGCCTGGGTGGCTCAGTTGGTTGGGCAGCTGCCTTTGGCTCAGGTCATGATCCCAGTGTCCTGGGATCGAGTCCCAGATCGGGCTCCTTGCTCATAGGGGAGCCTGCTTCTCCCTCTGCCTCTGCCTGCCATTCTGTCTGCCTGTGCTTGCTCTCTCTCCCTCTCTCTCTCTCTGACAAATAAATAAATAAAATCTTAAAAAAAAAAAAAAAAAGATGGTACACCTCATATTCTCACATATTCGATTTATAAGAGCCAAAAATGGAAATAACCCAGTCAAACAGACAAGAAATAAAGGAAACAATGACACACTCAGTATTATACTTAGCGTATACACAGTAATACACTAAGTATTACATGGCTATTCAAAATGATAAAGATACATTACCATATTTCATAAAATCTAAAGGGGTACTACTATATCAAAGAAAAAATTGCTGTTTATTAACCTATGACATCAAATATCGTTAAGATGTATCCCAGTTTCCAGAGAAATTACAATGTGCAACAATGTGCGTTGGTAGGGTTGCTGAAATATGAAAACATAAAAATGGAAAATGCTTTCACAAAATGAAATGAAAAAAAAACATAACCAGATCACCACAACAAAAGCAAGAATGTTAAGCAATTCTATGGGCTAGGAATTAGTACTTATATTACTATCTCCCTTTTCAAGATTATCCTATGTGAGAAATAATATATCCAACTAAAGACAAACAGATTAAGTATGAAGTTAGTTTTTTTTTTTTAAAGATTATTTATTTATTTATTTATTTAACAGACAGAGATCACAAGTAGGCAGAGAGGCAGGCAGAGAGAGAGGGGGAAGCAGGCTCCCTGCTGAGCAGAGCCTGATGTGGGACTCAATCCCAAGACCCTGGGATCATGACCTGAGGCGAAGGCAGAGGCTTTAACTCACTGAGCCACCCAGGCACCCCAAGTGTGAAGTTAGTATTAATCACAAATAATTAGAGCTCACAGATTATTACAATTGCAAAAAAGTATGTAAGCATGGATATGGGCTAGAGGGGAACATGATCTGCTACAATAGATCAGGGATATTTTTCTCTAATAAAGCATTCCATTGAAATATTACCTTAAATCCTGAGTCATAAAAAATATAAAATTTTAAAAAACTTTTTTCAAATTAGAGCATGAATGTTACACTGTGTAGCACATTAACATCAAAGATTATTTTATGTATTTTGTGCCTGTATATATTAACATATACTATTTTATACTATTTTAGTTTTATACCAGTCAATATTTATTAAATTTAAATAAGTGTATTTTTTCTTAAGATTTTATTTATTTATTTGACAGAGAGAGAGATCACAAGTAGGCAGAGAGGCCAGCAGAGAGAAAGGGGGAAGCAGGCTCCCTGCTGAGCAGAGAGCCTGATGCAGGGCTCAATCCCAAAACCCTGGGATCATGACCCAAGCCAAAGGCAGAGACTTAACCCACTGAGCCACCCAGGTGCCATTGTTGATTTCCTTTGAACATAATTCATTCTCACATTTCACAACTTTCTTCTGGAATCACATTCCTTCTTCTGCAAGGACATTATTATTTTTTTAGTCAACTCTTAAGTTGTGCCTTCTCTGAAAATGCCTTTATTTTTACCTTCTATCTCTGCTGTGTAAAGAATTCAAAGATTCTCTTTTTTTCTCTTGGTATAAAGAATTCTTACAAGGCACACATTTCCTTTCAGCATATTAGAGATATCCCCACTGGGTGCCTGGGTGGCTCAGTTGGTTGAGTGACTGCCTTCACCTCAGGTCGTGATCCAGTCTTGGGATGAGTCCCTTATCAGGGTCCCTGCTCAGAAGGGAGTCTGCTTCTCCCTCTGACCTTCCCCCTTTCATGCTTTCTCTCTTCTCAAATAAAATCTTAAAAAAGAAAAAAAAATTATATTAAAAAAAAAAAAAAAGATATTCCCACTGCCTTGTTTTGTACAAAAGTTGGTGACCAGAAATTTGCCATCATTCTAGCTGTCACTCTTAATCTTTTTCCTTAAATTTTGTCAATGGTGATTTACAGTTTCACAATCATCAGTTTAAGTGTGAAATTCCTCTTTATTTAATCTATTTGGGATTCACTGAGCTCTGAAATCCAATGCATCAATTCTGTAAAATTCTCAGCCGTTAGCTCTTCAAACTCTGCCTCTCCATCAACTAACTGCTCTATTGTTTCCTTCTGGAATGCCAATAAAATATTCACACCTTCTCTTACGGTGTTCCACCTCTCTTTGTATCAATCTCCCATTTTCTATTTCTTCGTCTAAGAAATTACACCCTGAGTAATTTCTTAAGTTCTTTCTTCCAGTTCATCAATTCTCTCTTCATCTGTTTCTAAGATGAATTTAACTTGTCCACTAAATTTCTAAGTTCTTTTTAAATAATTTTCATTTCTTAAAATTCTGTTTGGTTCTTTTATCAAATCTATCTGACCAATGCTTTCCTTTCCTTTTTTTTTTTTTTAAAGATTTTATTTATTTGTTTGACAGAGAGAGATCACAAGTAGGTAGAGAGGCAGAGAGAGCCATGTGGGGCTCAATCCCAGGACCCCGAGACCATGACCTGAGCCAAAGGCAGAGGCTTAACCCACTGAGCCATCCAGGCGCCACCCTTTCCTTTCTTTTTCTTCTTCTTCTTTTTTTTTTTTTTTTTTTTTGAGAGGGAGAGAGACAATCTTAAGCAGGCTCCACGCCCAGCAAAGGGTCTGATTGTGGGGCTGGATCTCACACCCTGAGATCATGACCTGAGCTGAAATCAAGAGTCAGATACTTAACCTACTGAGCCACCCAGGCACCCCCCTGTTTTGTTTCTTTTCTTTTCCTTTTTTTTTTTTAAGATTTTATTTATTTATTTGACAGAGAAAGAGATCACAAGCAGGCTGAGAGGCAGGCAGAGAGAGAGAGGAGGG